ACATCCCAATCTGAACAGCCATTCTCGGTCATGGTCACGGCAGTTGATTGAAACAAGATGGGAGGCGGGGGAAGATGCAGAAGGATGCGTGGATTTGGGAATGGGAGATGCCTGCACACGGAGGGGAGGATTGGCGAGAAGGAAGGAACTAGGAAGGGACTAGAAGTCCAGAAGACGAAACGGTTGGTGTTATCAACTTATCATCCACAGTCCTTTGGGCCTTGGGTCGACATTTTGTTTAGGCCCATAGGATGAAAGTGGCGCCTTCCATGACTACATGTAAAAATAAGCCGTAGACTGACCAAAAAACATTAGGGGTTGTTTTTGTAGCGAGGGATTTGTGGGGAATTTTAAAATAATTTTTCATTATGTAGGATTTTAAAATTCGGTCACCTGATCGCATCGCCCTCCTCTCCTATTCCACTGCATCGTCGGAGATTTGGGTTTACGGTGTGAAGCCGATGTCGATTATAAATTTGAAAACCCCCAATCATCTTCCCCATAAAAGCCAGCGACGAACAGGAAGACGAAGCTTACTCTGGGTTCTGGGTTCCGGCGATGAAGAAAACGAAGGAGGAAAGCCTATCTTTCTGTTCCCGCGATTGGTTATGGCGGCCGACCTTGTTTCTGGTCGATCTATCCTTCTCTGTCGCCCTCTGCTCCTGTGCCCAATTTATTTTTATATTATGTATAGAATTGTGACAAAAAATTAGGTTAAATACACTTGTATATCCAAAACTTTCACGGTTGTGCCAATAATATCCAAATTTTCCGAAATACCACTTATATCCAATTCATTCACATTCTTTATAACAGTGTTTTTGGATATACAAGTGTATTTAACCAAAAATATATTGGGAAATGGATAGATTTGGCAAAGAACAACTTTAAAACATGGATATAAGTGGTATCCGGGAAATTTAGATATTATTGGCACAACCGTGAAAGTTTTGGATATACAAGTGTATTAAACCAAAAAATTACTATATTTGTCACAAAGATCCATTTTTGGCTACACATGTGTATTTTGTCTAAACTAAACCACACATACAATTTATTATTTAATGTTTGATCAATGTTACTTGAGTTCCGATTTCACAATTAATCACTTTTTATGAGATATAATAATTTCAGATAAAATACTTTTCCTACTTGGTTGAAGAAGCTCTTTCTATAAGATATATTCAATGTTGTAAGATTTTCTATTTCAAATTTCGTGAAGCGAGAGTGAAGTAGGAAGAGTATTTTTGTCATCACAATTATTATCTACTTCATATGAAAAAGTATCAATATTAAGATTTGAACCATGGTCTCTTCAAACAAAAAAATAATCACAACCAATTACACTAAACAAATTTGTTTTATCTTCTTAAATTGTAAACATGCACTAAGCGAAGATTTGAAAAACAGAGGACTTTTCACGATTAGCTAGCCTATTAAATAAATAAAGAGCATTGTAACCAACTAGGCTACATTCTATTTATTGTTATTTCTTTGATTAAACTTTAGGAATATGTGTGTTGATGATGCTTCTATATTTTATATTTTATCTTAAGTTATTATATTTTATAGAAAGAGATTAGTTCTGAAATCGAAACTCAAGTAGTATTGATTCAAACATTAATATTTTATTGTATGTGTTGTTTAGTTTAGACAAAATACAGAAGTGTAACCAAAACATGAACCTTTGTGACGAGTATAATCATTTTTTGCGACAAATCTACACATAATATAATGATAAAATTGGAAATGAGAGTCTCATTTCAAATTTCATGGCCTGAGAGTAATTCTAGAAAACTCTTTTTTGTCATAGTGCCCAATTTATTTTTATATTATGTATAGAATTGTGACAAAAAATTAGGTTAAATACACTTGTATATCCAAAACTTTCACGGTTGTGCCAATGATATCCAAATTTTCCGAAATACCACTTATATCCAATTCATTCACATTCTTTAACGGTGTTTTTGGATATACAAGTGTATTTAACCAAAAATATATTGGGAAATTGATAGATTTGGCAAAGAACAACTTTAAAACATGGATATAAGTGGTATTCCGGGAAATTTAGATATTATTGGCAAAACCGTGAAAGTTTTGGATATACAAGTGTATTAAACCAAAAAATTACTATATTTGTCACAAAGATCCATTTTTGGCTACACATGTGTATTTGTGTCTAAACTAAACCACACATACAATTTATTATTTAATGTTTGATCAATGTTACTTGAGTTCCGATTTCACAATTAATCACTTTTTATGAGATATAATAATTTCAGATAAAATACTTTTCCTACTTGGTTGAAGAAGCTCTTTCTATAAGATATATTCAATGTTGTAAGATTTTCTATTTCAAATTTCGTGAAGCGAGAGTGAAGTAGGAAGAGTATTTTTGTCATCACAATTATTATCTACTTCATATGAAAAAGTATCAATATTAAGATTTGAACCATGGTCTCTTCAAACAAAAAAATAATCACAACCAATTACACTAAACAAATTTGTTTTATCTTCTTAAATTGTAAACATGCACTAAGCGAAGATTTGAAAAACAGAGGACTTTTCACGATTAGCTAGCCTATTAAATCTTCTGAAAAGCAAAGTTTAATACGTGATATATAATTTTTATAAGTTATAACCTATAAAATATCCTAAAAATAACATATAAAATTTGAATTAATGAGTTGTTTCTCACATCAACGTGTGAGTTGTGACGGCTCATATTCTAAAAGTTTTATAAAATACATTCATTGTTTATTTTGAGTCTCAAAACCTTTTTCAATGTATACAACTAAAACTTGATTTATAAAATCATTCTTGATTAACTTCATAGTTGAAAAGTATTTTTTACAGCTTACAGTAATAACAAATAACGTCAACAATAACTTTAGAAGCAAGTAAAGTGAAGAAGAAATTAGGATTTAGTATTTCTTTGCAAATGTGTGTGAGGAGGGGGGAGATTTTTTTTTTGTCTAAAAAATTTGAGGAAGGGTTGAAACTCATATATAATTTGTTTGAATATTGCATATTGAATTGGAGTATGGAACATTTTGGAAGCGATATCTAGTCAACAATAGTTTGAATAACTTGCATTCATAGATGGGCGCAAGACCACCTCTGCCTCCAGGACCACCTCCTGCGTACCAAATGATGCTCAACCACCAGCATGGTGGTTCGTTTAGTCCGAACCAGCCTCCAGGTGGTGCATTTTCTGGTTGATTAATTCTCTCATTGCTCAAGGTGTGGTATCAATGACAAACCAGACTACTACGCAGGTATGGAACTACCCATTTTACCGTTCATGATGCGGGTGGGAGTTCTGTGGCCCCATTAGATTCAAGAATTGGCATCCGTTGACGGCGTTATTGTCCCACTGCTCAATCAAATACCTTTTAACTTTCTTCCAGGGTCTAATGTTGATGTGGACACCATTTTACTGTGTTTTCAACATTCTCTATAGGCAAAATACACTTGTATAGCCATAACTTTCACGCTTGTGACAAATATAGCCATAACTATTCGAAAACCAAAAATAGCCCAAAAAATTGAGGGTAGCGTGACAAATCTAGCCAAATCCGTTAGAAACTTTAACGGTGTTAGAAACTCCGTCAGTTAGGTTAATGTTAGGCTGACTAGGATGCCAAATCATCGCACACGTCAGCAACCAGTCAGCATATCATTGCCACGTAATTTTGAATGAATAAAATAATTAATTTTGAAATAAAAAAAATTACCCCTTCCCTGCCGATTCCCTTTTCCCACATCTCCCACTAAAATTCTCTGCTGCTTCCCATCCAATCCACCCTCCAAAATCACCACACCACAGCCCACCTCCTCCAACCAGTAGCATCATCTTCACCACCCCGCCGTCCCCATCCTCCGAGCTCCGTCTCACCGAGGGCGCCTCTGACAACTTCGACGACCACCTCATCTCCCCATCTCCCGCTCTCCTCTCTCTTTCCACTCAACCATCTCTCCTACAACAACCCTTTCCCCAATCAAAAGAACCCTAACCACCACCAACAATGGCAGCAACACCTTCTGCCCCCTTGCTTCTTCTCGATTCAAACTCGACGGCTATCTAGGAAATGCCGAAATGGGAACTGGAATCTATTGTCTGACGAATCTACTCGATTTATTGCCAACTCTGCGAGACCCTTCCCTTTCCTCCCTTTGCTTCGCCATCGTCATGGGCAGAGATTCTTAGCCTCCGAACTCCATCTCAGCCACCGTCAATCCTCCACCCATTATACCCCCAGCTCCCCACACAACAGAGAAGAAGTTGGTCGCCCAGCGGCAGAGCTTCTCGTTTCACGCCTGGGATAGAGTCGAGGGTTGAGATACACCGAGGCTGTTGGCTTGAGTTTTCCGATTCGGAATCGATGGCAGATCTAAATTCATTCATAAGGGTTCGATGGTTGTCGCGTCGGTGTCGTTGGGCCATATCCCTGCATCTGTATTCTTCTCTTCTTTTTCGTTGAAGGTAGGGAAGTAGGCGATGGCGGCTAGGGGTCGGAGAGAGCGAAAGAGGGGGTGAGACCGGTGAGAGGAAGCGGCAGCGGATGAGAAGGAGATAGAAAGCATCAGAGGCAAATTATGAGGGAATAAGAGGCGGTGGAAGAAATCCCAATTCAGGGGAAAATATATATTTTTTTCATTTTTTTTAATCCACGTCAGTTAGCGGGGACAATAAATCGCCAGATCAGCATCTTCCGTTAGTACAGTCATACCGTTAACTGACGCTGTTAACAAAATGGACGAAATTGTTTATTTTTGATTTTCGAATAGTTATGCCTATATTTGTCACAAACGTGAAAGTCATGGCTATACAAGTGTATTTTGCCTTTTCTATACTACCTTTCTTTTCACTAGACCCACAAACTTCTTTTAATAGAAGAGAAAGGGTAGAACCCACAACTTGTCAAGCAGACCCCCTACTGGTCGAATAAATGCAGAGCCTTTGAGCCCTTATCTTAATTATTTTCCTTCATCTTTAGGAGTCACTGGGACTTGAATTTGATGCTGATCTTCTCAAGGTATGTCATGAGTCGGCAATCTGTGCCTTGTATGCTGATCTCTCAAGACAGTGCATGACTTGTGGACATCGCTTCAAGACCCAAGAAGAGCACAACGCTCACATGGATTGGCACGTAAGTGGTTTGTTAGTGCGAGTATGTGGCTCACTGGTGCCTAGGCATTAGGAACCGATGTTGTGCCCGTTTTTTGCCTCCCGAGAATGTTGTTGAGGAGAAAGACGAGGAAGAGTTGTCTGCTCCTGCTGATGAAAATCAGACTGCGTGTGCATTATGTGGAGAACCATTTGATGATTTCTTTGGTGATGAAACTGAGGAGTGGGTGTATAAAGGTGCTTTGTATTTAAATGCGCCTCCCCAGGGGTGGACACCTGGTATGGATAGATGACAGCTAGATCCTTTAGTACTTGCCAAATGCAGGGCGGAGTCCAGCGGAGTAATGCCCATTGTAGACTTGAGGCAAGATAATGAGGTAAGAATCTGTTTTGAAGTTTGGAATATCTTTGTTCTTGTGAGAGATTATTTCGATTCAAGGACATCTGACATATTTGGCCTTTTTCCTTTTCCCTGTTACTACTAGCTGAAATATGTTCTACTGTTTCTCAACGTGCAGGTCATTGTAGAAGAGGGCAGTCAAAGGAAACCGGAATTAAAAGTTGTGGTAGACCAATCTTAAAAGTTGTGGAAAAGCGACAACCATTTGGGGTAGGTTCTAGGATAAAATTACTTTCAAGAACCACACTGCCAATTTCTAGGACTGGATGTTGAACAATCCAAAGAGCGAGGATTGGCGCTCTATCTCAAGAGCATAACTGTTGCTCTATCTCAAAATGTCTCAAAAGGCAACGGACTGGCGATAGTGACTTCACCTTCTTGAAGGTGAGTTACTTCTTTAAAAAGAACTTGTTTCTTAACTTTAACAATAACTTATAAACGGAAAGCTTTAAATTAACTAAGAACTCATGCACATTCACATCAAACATAGCTCAAACAAAATCACATATCATCAACCATAAGCACAATCAAACAACGACAATCACTTCATCAACATACGTAAGGCTTGTAATTCTTGAAAGAACACGTAAGGCGTAGAATGTACCCCTTTACACTCACCTCGGTAAACAGCCGATTTCCTTGTTGGAAAGCTCCCATGTGTGCACTGCTACCCCAATCAAAAGAGGACAATGGACTTGGTCCATCTAATTGCATTCACCCAAGCTCTCGTATCAATATCCCATACCAACCTCTCTATCTGACATTACCATCCCATTTATCATACATCCATGGGATTAATCACCACCGCTAGCTAGGACGCATAATTTTTATAGCTGCATCAGCAAACTAAGCAACGCAAGAAGAGCTAGCTGCCTCGTCCCATTAAAAGCAAACCAACTAGAGCTACATGCTTGCCCCTTACCAATAATTCCGATCGGTTTCTGTAGTGGTGGAAAGCAATGATATCACCTTCCTCGTTGCTTTAATCCCCGTGACTTGTGTCAACATTCCCAGGCGGGGACTATCTTCGGGCGGCTCATTTTTTTTCCCTCGACCCCAGCCGCCAATCTCCTGTCTCGCCTCGCTTGATTGTCATTCACATGCCTCACCTGCTTGCTTGTCCATCTCATAGTAGAGGAGAGCCTCGGCGAGAATGGATCCTCTCGGCAAGAACAATTGCATAAGGGGATAGAGAGAGCAAACGCTAGCAGTTGCTGGGGTTTAATTAGTGAGGCCGAGTGGGAGGTAGGATTAGGGTTTAATTGTGTCGGGAGGCCAAGTGGGAGGTAGGATTAGGGTTTAATTGTGTCGGGTTTAATATGGGAATTTCCTAATTACGGGTGAGTTTAATATGACATTCAATTAGCATCCATGAAATGTTGTCGAAACTCGATCCCGTTTGAACTATTAGTTCACATTTTTAATCCTCATCGATAATACGGTGGAACTTGAACCAAGGCTAAAATAGTCATTTTGACTTTTGGGAAGAGCGGGTGTAACATCGGGGGCTTTTGCCGCTCCCAAGTCCCTAGCCTGGATCGAGGGCGGAGCTGTCAGCAAAAGTTAACGGAGACTAACGGCCAATGACCAAACTTGAACTGTTAAACTAATTTAAGTGACTATGGATGGAATAAATTAATTTTAGTGACAAAAGTGAAATTTTTAAGTAATTCTAGTGACCAAACTTGCAATAGCCTAATACAAACCATGGACTAGACCAAACCATTCTTTACGGTCTACGTCCGGACCAAATTGTGCAGTCCGATTTGGTCTACGATTTTTCAAACGGTCTGATCTATTTTCCCAAGTCCTACATAAGAACCTTTTCAAGATATTTGATGAAGCAATTCAGTGGATTGGCGTGGGCAATGTGGTTCATGTGGTCACTGATAATGCAGCTAACTACAAGTCATGTGGTAAGATTATTCATAAGACTTATCCATATATTTATTGGTCTCCATGTGCAACTCATTGCATGAATTTGATATTGAGTGATTTTGGAGATTTGGAGAATGTGAAGGCTGTCATTCAAAAGTCTAGAAGAGTAACTGTGTTTGTTTATAATCATTCTCCTGTGATTAATTGGTTGAAAGCAAGGCCAAATTGGAAGCAAATAGTGAGACCTGGTGCAACTTGCTTTGCTACTAATTTCCTCTCCGTGAAGAGTGTGTATGAGCACAAGGTTGATTTACAAGCTTTAGCAGTGATTGAGTTCTTCAATGCAGATGAATCATCTAAGACTGGAAAAGGAAAGGCAGTGAGTGCTATATTGTTAGATGCTCAGTTTTGGGGTGATTGTTTGGAGATATCAAATGTGGCTCAACCAGTCATGAAGTTGCTGAAGCTTGTGGAATCAGATGAGAAGTCCACTTTTGCTTATGTTTATATGAGGGAATGAGAAGAGCAGTTAAGGAAATCAAAGAGATCTTTTTAGGTAAAGAGACTTTGTACAAGCCTTACATTGACATCATCAACAAAAGGAGGGATAAGCATTTCCGGGGGGGGGGGGGGGGGGGGGATCTAGTCAAAGCAGCTTATTTCTTCAATCCTGCTCTCAAATATGATGAGGAATATGTGGGGGACATTGAGGTGAATGGGGCTATAATAAACTTGCTTGAAAAGCCCCAACTTTGTAGTGATGGTTTGCAAGCATGTAAGGAACTGAAACTGTTTGAGGAAGCGAAGGGGACTTTTGGTAGGGACTTGGCTGTTAGAGGTAGATCGTCACTTGATCCAGGTAATATGAAGTATCATGATTTGTAATGCAATAGTTGGTCTATTTAATTATGTTTGTTCTAATAAATTATTTTTCTTTGTAGATGATTGGTGGAATACCTTTGGTGATAGTGCACCATTGTTGAAGAACCTTGCACTTCGAGTCCTAAGCCAAACTTCTGCCTCTTCTGGATGTGAAAGAAATTGGAGTGTGATCGAGCAGATTCACACCAAGAAGAGGAACAGTTTAGAGCATGAAAGACTAAGCAATCTAGTCTTTGTGAAATACAACATGAAGCTAGGAAAGAGGTATGTGATGAATAGCAAATATGTTTGATTTGAGTACAAAATATTTTTGCCATGAAATAGTGACATATTTGACTTGTATTTAATCATTCATAGGTCTCGTACTAGAAAAAGTAAGTTCTTGGTTGATCTATTTGACTATGAATGGATTAATGCCACTGAATTTTGGGTTATGGATGAGGAAGAGGATCCAACTCCAGATCTTAGCTTTGATGAGTTGATGCAAGCTATGAGTGATAATAATGCTAATGACGTTCCTGAAGGAAGTGGAACTACAAGTAGAAAAAGAAGTCGCAATGAAGGTTGGATTGACATATTATTAGTAAATGAAGAATGTTCAACTTTGATCTATTTTTAACACATGATTTCTAACATATTTTTGTTTACTTATTAGATGATGATGGACATGATGGTAGCACAGCCATTGGGATGACGTCTTCAAGTAGTGATTCATCTGATGCTAGTGATGGTGAATGAAATGATGTTGAAGTTGTATTTGATAGTTGTTTGAGTTTGAGACTTTGAGTGGTTTCCATGTTTAAGACTCTTGTTTAATGTTCAGACTCGTGTGATATTGCTTTTATTTTGGAACAATGTGGTGGTTTGGAATTGAATTTTAGATCTTTCAGTACTGATGTTCTAGAATGGTTTAAGAGAGTAATTTACTTGTGGTTTACTATGATTAAGAAGTGTCTACTATTTATACAGATGACTGTTTATTAGGTACCGGTTCTCAAACGGTTTTTAAACGGTCTAATGTCGGCTGGACCACTAATGACCGAGCCATTCACGTTACCGGGTCATACTCCGGTTCGGCTTTGACAGCATTGCTCAAGAGCATGAGCAATCATAAAACTTTATAGTTACTACATTAATACTTAATCATGGCCTCTACAGAACCAAGCACACAAAGACCCAGTTTGCAAAGCTAAAAGGAGGCATGAAGAATTAATTTTTGTGCTAGTATTTGGTCCCGTTAAATTTGGGTTAATTGCAAGGATGGTCACTGGGTTTACTAAAACCGTTCATGTTTGGTCACTGTAAATATTTAATTCCATTCATGGTCACTAAGATTAGTTCAATAGTTCAAGTTTGGTCACTCTCCGTTAGTCTCCGTTAGTTTTTGCTGATGTGGCAGTCAACTATTATAGTTGACCGTTAAATGAGTGACGTGGCCAATAAAAAAATAATAAAAAAATAAAATTTAAATATTTACAATTTCCACCTCATTTTACAACTATTAAAAATAAATATTTTACAACTATTAAACTAATAAAAAATAAATATTTACAATTTCCACCTCTCCACCAAGATCGGCCCGGAGAGGTGTGCGCATATACACACAGATTTCGGCATATATGAATCATATACCACAATCGGAATACATAATAAACACAGAGATCAAAATTTCCAGAGCAAAGAATCTCCAGAGCTATGCCCGATCGCAGCTGCATACACAAAATACTCAAATTCTTTTCCATTTCATCATTTTAATCACTACTAGTACTACTAAAGGAACAAAACAACAAAAGATCTCGAAAACCCCCTCGATCAATTCCCCGTCTCTGCAATTTCCCCTCTTTCCACCTCGACCATCAATCAACAACACAGAACAGCTCTGTTTTTGGGTAAAGAGAAGAGAAACATTGGATGTGGCTATTTGGGTTCTCGACAACGAACCCGCGAGGCCTGTGGATGCTGGGGGCGATCGTGATGGTGGTGGCAGTGACGATGGTGCTGCGGTGGGTCGGGGAGTACATGGAGAAGCAGGCGGTGCGGCGGGAGCACCTGGCGGAGATGGAGCGGCAGCACCGCTACCACAAGAAGAAGGCGATGATGCGGATGTGGCGCTCCGGCGGCGGCGTACGGACCTACTCGCTGGACGAGCTGAAGCTGGCGACCAGGGACTTCCGGATCCGGATCTTGAGGACGAACACCGCGCCAGAAACGAGGCCGCCGCCAGCTTCAGCATCAACCATAATACCACCACCACCACATCTTCCCTGTCCATTTCGTTTCTTCCTTCCTTCCTTCTTATCTCCTTCTCTGTTTCTCTCTGTTTTCTGGTTTCTCTTTGTTTTGTGACGAGGAGAGGTGATATATATGGAGGCTCTGGTTTTTGTTTCTTGTGAAAGAGGAAGAGGAAGGGGGGGAGAGGAG